ACGAATTGCAAATGAGAGCAAATGTCACCGCGGCGTTCAGGGCTTTGAAACAACCTTATAGTAAGAAGGCATTTCGTTTTGTCAGTAAAAGTCTTCAAAACCGCGAGAAGCATTATAGTTCAGGTAATGAAGAGAAAGTTTTGTTTGGAAACAAAATTGGTTTGTTATGATTGTTATTTATCGCTCGTGAAAAACGAGACAGCAGCATTGACAGTTTCAGGCCGAAATGTCTGCATGATCTTCAAGTCTACGATTTCATATAAACTGGAATATTTCAATGGACTGTTAAAAGAACAAAAATACATTTATATATGATACATTTATGCAGTTTATGTAGTTTATTATCAACCAAATGCATGACTTTTTAATTTGCGACCACCTACGCTTATCGTCAATAACTTCTAAAACTTGACTAGATATGTGAGAGACTTTCTTTTTTCGACTTGCATTTCAGATATAAAATCATTATGTGGATAATATCGATGATTTTTTTTTTTTTTTTTCAAATAAACTGCAGGTCCTGGAATTGTATGGCCGCGTATGATGACCACCGCACAAGCCAACCAAACCACTGAAGATGAAGTCCTTTTGCCTTCAACCGAAAGAAATAGTCATTCGTGGCATTACAATACTTTGATTTTACGAGCATGGCTAGGGACTTGTCTGGCGCTTGGACTGTTGATAAGTCTGATTCTTATAATCTTAATTTGGAACTTTATTAGGAAAAAGTACCATCTTTCTTTTAAGGCTTACTTTGGAATTGAAAAACGAGAAATTRGTCAACGAGAGTCAGATCATGATTTTGAAATGCAAGTCAAAGACAGTGATGATTTTGTTCTGGAGAAACCTACTCAGTTGTAAGAAGAGCCCGTCTCTATGTTTTTCACCGATGCATCAGCTGTTTGAGTTATATTTTTTCTTGTAGAGAGTGATACACTGTATGAAGCTGAGCTTTATGCTAAATGAGATTTTCTATTTAATTTATAATCCTTTCAAAACTCAGGAGAATAACTGAAAGTAGGAAAGCGTTTTTATATAGGATCTCAAAGCGAATTCGTTTTCGGTTTTCATAGTTGTGTTTAAAAAATAGGTATTCGGCACAASGTCGCGGACAGACTGATAAGACAGTTTTGGTTTGTAGCTATGTTTGATAACATACCACATGTCAGTTTTTATTAGGTTACATTTGTAATATTAAGTAGAAAAATGCAAAAAACACATTACCAAATACAAAATAAATTAGAATCTGCAAATCGCCACATGGCATTGGTTGAAAAGAGAAATCCATTGCGAACATGGGGTGTTCATCACGTTGCCTCCATCTAATTCCCAATAATCGTTTTATCTGTATATCAAAAGTTGGATAATCTCGAGATGGCATGCTATCAGTTTAAAGATGAATATTGCTGCTCGATGTTTTTTATAGAGATAACGAATAACGAATGGAAAGCTAGGAGAATGCTTTGGTTAAAACCTTGGTCGTTTATCGTAGTATCGGTTAATATGACAAACTTTATACATGGAAAAAAATAAGATGATACCATACCACATAGTTAGAGTTTAATGATGTTTTTAATTTGAATGAAATCTAATTGCAGGTTTTTACACGTTTGTTCTCTTTCATATAATCATTCTTTTTAATTCCGGTCTCTCGCAATTACCAATTCATTTACGACCGCATACATAAAACATGACTGCTGGTCCCTGAACTGAGGCATACATAGCTTGCGTGGCGGCTGAATGGATTCACCAGTCCTCGTTTTTATTTCTCGTCCCTAGAAACACCACCCGGGTTGATAAGCACATGAGACACCTTCCTCAATTGTTCTCAAAGTGGGAATTTTACTTCAGTGCCTGAAGGAGGAAATATAAAGGGAAGCTAGTATGTTTGTTTTAATTTATTCCCGGGGGAAGAGGGGGACTTCCTCGTATTTGGACGTGGATGATCGTCAGAAATCCTAAAAAATACCCCTAAAAGATACCATACGAACGGCGTGAAAACAACATTTTCAGCCCTTAAAGATACCAACTAAAAATGTACAAATTCATTTAAACACTTTTGGCAATTCTAGTGACCTCAACATCGAATTCTTTTTTCAACCTTTTAAAAGTTAAAAGTTTCTAAAAGAATTTTCATAAATTCTCTGATCTATCAATGTCATAAACAGTAACAAATAATATGTAGACGACGATCGTCCCCTCCCCTCCCCTCCCCTCCCCCGGAACCTGTAAGCGTACAAATAATGAAGACTTTATCATATCATTTTAATTGCATTTATAATCTTATTACATGTACCGCAAGTATGCATGCATATTCTCTTTATAGAAATATAAACTATTTAAATAGGTATTTTAGTTTCCGCCATACATTTG